TGTTTACATTCCATTTCCTTCGCCTACTTCTATATACAGAACTGCCTACTTCTTACACCTACTTCTGTTTACATTCCATTTCCTTCGCCTACTTCTATATACAGAACTGCCTACTTCTTACACCTACTTCTGTTTACATTCTATTTCCTTCGCCTACTTCTGTATACAGAACTGCCTACTTCTTACACCTACTTCTGTTTACATCCTATTTCCTTCGCCTACTTCTGTATACAGAACTGCCTACTTCTTACACCTACTTCTGTTTACATCCCATTTCCTTCGCCTACTCCTGTATACAGAACTGCCTACTTCTTACACCTACTTCTGTTTACATCCTACTTCCTTCGCCTACTTTTGTATACAGAACTGCCTACTTCCTATGCCTATTTCTGTATACTTCCTACGTTCTATACCTACTTCTTTATAATTTCTACTTCCTACACTTACTTTCTAAGTAGAAGAAACACATACTTCTGTATATTACAAAACTTCCCATCATTAACAAACACACCCATCTCTCTAATTTGTCTTTATTATTGATATTTGCCTTGAATATTTAGCAGAGGACTATGTAAACACTAAAATATTTATCTTAATAAATTCATCTTCCAAAATTTTTAAATCTACAATAATATAATTTTAAGTAACTTTATTTATCCACGATTTTTATTTATTTTTAGAGATTTATTGTATTTATTTTTATTTCAATAAAAACCAATGCTTGAGACAATATTTTATAAATCGATCATTGAACTAATATTTTATAAAACTGGAAACGATCATGCTCTATTATCAAAAGTCAAAGCTATGCTATTTATCAAAACTCGAAAACTATCATTTATATATGTTTTTCAACTGAAAAAAAAAATTCTATAAAATAAAATCTATAAAAAGAAATATTATTATTATTTAAGTTATTCAATTTATAAAAAATGTCATTATATTTTTCTTATGAGTAATTTTTGTAATTATCTTCATAAAATAATATAAAACTTTCCTAGAGAAATGATTTATAAGGACATCTTTATAAATTGTAAATAGTAATTATATAGGCCTATATATATATATAAGTTTATATAATAGAATGACTGTTTATCTGTCTATTTGTTTTTTCCCTATACATTTAGACTAAATTTTTCAGAATTATTCTCTAGGATCCTGTAGAAAATATAGGCCATTAGGATTTCATTCCTTTGTGATTGTGATAATTTAATCTTAATGCATTATTAAATTAACATTGTTCATTTGAGTTGGCCTAAAATAACCAAACTTTTAACATGATTTTAATGTTAATGTTTGTCCTAATTAGGTCTACTTTTTTCGGGTATTGTAAGGCCCCTTTATTATATATTTATATAAATTGATTTTTTATAAACTAAATATTACATAAACCTTTTTATCAAAATTCTGTTGTAGGAAGCGAATATGAAAGTTTAAACATTAATCTACTTAACATTTATATATATATATTTATGTAAATATTAAGCTTTTATTTAGTCTATTTATTTAATAATTACAGGATTTTTACATACTTGAGTCTGTTCCTATAGTTAATATATTTTTATTTAACTATCTAAAAAAGGTATTGTTGCAGGACTTTATGTAACTTTTTTTTTAAATCAATAGAAATAAAAGGAACGAAATTTCAAGAGCACATACATTTAGAATAGCAATTCTTTTGGGAAATTACTCTTGACAATAGGGGCATAAATGTTACATTGAAAGTAGATTCTTTTCTCTGTAGTAAGACAGAATTCAGAACTTTGTTATCACTCCGATCAAGTCGAATCATTATAAAAGAATTTGATTTAATATAAGTATGCAAGAGTGATTCAGTATCTTGATAACAATAGTCAAATCAAATGAACAAACATCGACTTAACACAGGCTTTTCTTGGTGAAAAGACACAATCCATTTATGAGGTCAATTAACAATAATGGATAGAAGACCGAAATAACAATAGAGTCTCCATCTTTGACGAACGGACCCCGAAAATTGGATTATTGCAACGTGTTCGGAACAATATATCGAATTATGGCTATTAGATTATCTTTAGGCAACTATTGTTCTCTCTCTGAGACATTAAATTGAGGCTTACCCTATAACTTCCCAGGTTATCCACAACACACGGAATGCTAACTTGACGTCCTGCTGAAACGGTTACATTTGGGATCGGTTCTGCAAACACTGGTTCTGCTGGAGTCTCTACTTTGGTTGATATGCCTATAGAATAAAAAAAAAGAAAAAAAAGGAGAATAAACTTTTGTGTAATATTTACATCACTTATAGGCAATATTTACATGTTTATAAGATGTTTGAGCAGCTTATTTAAATAATTATAGTTATAATATGTCATATAAATGCTCGTTAATAGCCTAAAGTGAACGTTATTTAGGTTCTGAGAATGATTTACTGAAGGATATTCTGTACTTGACTTAAATATATAATATTCTATTATGAAGTCTAAAAGAGTTTATCTCATGTATATTTTATTATTTTAAATGAACGTGAGTAAATAAGACGAGGATAGAAAATATAATTTTGAATAAAGAATAAGTTATAGAATGAATTATTTATAAAATGGTAATTGTGATAAAACATTTCCTTAAATACAAGTATCAGTCAATACGCATTTAAGAGACAATTTTCTTACAGTTGAATAATTGATACGAAATATATATAAATTATATGTTGAAGCGTATAGTATATGAAGGAAAAGCTCTGTTGTTTATATTAGAAAATATAAATCATAAATTCAATAACAGGTAGAATTTAGAACACGTTTCAAAAATATTTTTTTGATTAATTCTATCTCTTTTATCATTTTTTAAAAAGTTATAATATATTTAATTTTTTATAAAGCTTTTATTATATTTATTCGTAGATAAAGTAATGTTGAAAAAATTTCATAGAACTTTTCACTATAAAGCGTAAGATATGGGAGAAACTCTAATATAATGACTTCAAAAAGTGATAAGGAATCAAATTAAGCGGGAAAAAAATGTTATTTGTAAGCAGTCCTTATAAAAAATTAAGGTTGAGAGATTCAATAATGATTTAATAATAATTAAATCTCGCAACCTGTTTCGTTTTCTTTAATCTAATAAGGCTAAAGAAAACAAACAGATTCAAGCAGGCGTAACTCCTCCTCTTTCAATTTCATCAGCCAATGTCATTAAAGTAATCTTATCTACAACCAATCATCGTTCTAATCTCTTATTCTTTCTATCTTATTTATAATGCAGAGGACAATAAATGTTTTTAAATATGTCTTACTATTTTTCTCGAATATATTTTATGTTTAGCTTGCTTAAAACTAGTTCGTGCTATAAAATAACCTACTAAACATTCTAAATAACCGTAAAAAAAGGGTCTTTTTTACTAAATAAACTATAAGATAAAGCAAAATTTCAACAACATTTCAGTATCGCGTATTTAAATATATAAAATAAATTTTCAAAAAACTATATATTCTAGAAAAAATCACACCATATGTCGACAGTGAAACGATATTTTGAAGGTATAGAAATATGTTCTTTCTTCACTTTACGAACATTTATATAGAAAAATCGTTGAAGAAATAACAACGTTGCAAAGCCCAACCATTATCGGGTAGTATACGAACCATGACAGTAGCCAAATTGTCAAGGAATGTTGACAAACGGCATCTAAAGGACAACAGCGATGGTGTGTGTAGGATCATATTGTGAAAGTGTCATTAAGCATCACGCCCCATCAATCTGGGATATATTGATCAATTGATACGACATCAACTTGCAAGAGGAGAGAGAGAGTGTGTGTGTGTGTGTGTGCGTGCGTGTGTCTCAAGTGAGAAAAGAGCTCCAACCAAAACTAGTAAAAGCCAAATCGATTTTCTCCCCCTTTTAGATATTTTTATCTATTAATTTTGAAAGTAGTGATGATTCCAGTTTACTTTAGCACTTAGAAGATATCATAAAGCATTAAATGTTATGTTATAAAGATTTTTAAAGTGGAAAAAAGCTTACAAATTATTGATGTAGTTATCTTCTTGTCGATTAAAACACTGAATAAACATTAAAATAAAGGTATATAAGTATGTTTATCTGATGGCTTTTTGTAGTAAGAAATGATTTGTTTACAGTTTTATCATACTTAATTTGTTTTTGTAAGATAACAATAAGCTTTTACAAGAGAAAATAAGAATATTTCTTCTGTAAAAAAACGTATGAAAACAGAAAATATTTTATGTAAAACATTAGATTTATTTGAAATTCCTTCCAAAACGTGTTCATGCAAATTTAACCAACACAAACTCGTGTCTGTGCAAGATTAACGATACAGGAATCGTGTTTAAGTTAATTAATAATATAAAATATTGCATCTTATTAACATATAAACAAGAAAAGAGTATCAAAATATAAAAGTCTAAACTGCCAAACAATAGCAAGTTTTTCATATTTAAAAATATTTAAGGAAATTTCAAGAAAAATGTTTTAATTATAAAGAAAACAATATAAAATTTCGTCCGATCCTACTAATTTTCTTAATTCCCTATTATCGAGAAATTTAGGGAATTTTTAAAATTATTTTCTTGTTATCTGTGGAAATTTTCTTTAAACAAAAAGTTCCCTAACCATTTATAGAAAACATTGCTTAAATATCAGGGTATATTTTTCATAAATACTGTATAACCTAATATTTAGGGAATATTATTAACCATGTTATATATTATAGGCCTACAGCAGTGTTTCTCAACGGGGGCGATATCGACCCCATGTGGGCGTTTTTCCATGTTGAGGGTACGATTTGTAACAATTTATATTTTGGGGGGCGAAAAACAATTTTCTGGGCGATATAGCTAAACATTATATTAAGATTAATTAAATATTTTATTCGTTATATCGTACAATAATTAAACAAATAACATTACACTAGTCACTAGTCTATTCAATGCAGTACGAATTTGGAGTTAGCCCTGGTCCACGGCATCGGAATTTTGAAGTGAAGGGGGCGATACTACGTAACGGTTTTATTGAAGGGGCGATACTACGTTGAAGGGGGCGACGATTCGTTAGAGGTTGAGAAACACTGGCCTACAGTATAATATTTTAAAACATGCTTCGAAATAAAAATTATCATCATTTATACAATACAATACTTACGAAAATATTTTAGAAAAAAAAATCTATAAATACACCGAAATTATTTAAAAATAATATAAAAATATCTTTAAAAAATAATTATTATTTCCTAAATGTATTAATTAACTAAATTACAATTTCCTATTCCCAAAAGTAAAATAAAAAAAAAATATATATATATATATATATCGATTTTGTTTATATAAT